ATATATATATAAAGAAAATTAATCTAGCAGAGTACCTCTGAGCCAGCTACTGATCTTCTGGAAGGACTAGGTCATTTTTGTATTGAGAACCTTCCTAGCAGTGCCTGTTTGTGGGGTAATCATGAAGCACAGACAGAAGAAACAGCCTTACAAAGTACAAATAAATACATCTAAATAATTTAATAGACTTCAGACTGTAAAATATTGAGCTCCTTAAGAAGTGACACCTCTGAATTTTCATAGAAATGGCTTCCGTAGGAGTGACACTGATTTCTTTTCATCATCTGTGAAGCTCTCCTGTGGCTATTCCCATTCTACGTGATAGCACGCGGAGACCAACAGAGCGGGACCTCCTTCTACGAGACGTAGCAAATTCCTGTCGTAGCAGAAGATCATCACTTTATAAATCATGTTCTGCCATCACTGAATTGTTTCAGGGTTTCCTATCACAGCTGGCGTTTCTGAATATCGCAACAGAAAAGCTGCCTAAATAGCAGTGAATGAGTGAGTGATGGAGCTGTCATTGGGAGAAATGCTGTTCTGTCGTTGGGAGCAAGAATTTAACCAAACTGTCACACGCTCTGAATAACTGAGCCGACATTGAAAATTAATATCCCTTTGTTTTTCTCTCCTTTTTTAACAGAGTCCCATTTAGAACAGGGAGGGGAACTTGGTATCTCCTCTGTTTGTTGCTCCTCAGCAGTGTGTTAATAGGATAATATAAAGGACGTGAGTTAAGCCTGGGTGAACCAGACTGTTAAATGAGCTGGTCCAGAGGATGGCTTTGCATGGGACAGGCGTGAAGCAAATGCACAAAACCAAAATGTATCTGTGTTCAACAGCAGGTGTCCCATAGGAAGATCAACTCATCAGTATAAAAAAGCAGACATAATTTACTTTTCACAAGAGAGAAAATGATACTTTATGAAATAGGTAGAGCTTACTGTACCTAGAATTTAGCCATCTAGTATTCTAGCTAATTAATCTCTGGGTAAAGCTTATGTAGGGTTCAGTTAGGTTCCACCTAACATTTCTGTTTGCTTCTGTGAGTCAAATACTCTTTCATTAAGAGTGTCATTCATTCGTTCATTCTCCCTCTCAATGTTTTGGGCTTTTTTTTTGTAGGACAGTTGTCTCTCTCTGTATTACAGAAAAGCTCATTTTCATTCCCTTCTTTGGGTCTTGATTCAAGACAACTTCCACAACTGCTTCATATAAAAATTGAGTTTAATACTTATTGCTTAGGCTTGTGTAACTTGTCTGTTAAACCACTGGAGATGCTGTCTGCTTTTGTGCTGGTGAAGATCAATACACCTCTTATCGTTGTCAGACTTGACCCTTCTGATGCAGCTGTACTGATATGGTAGTAGCTGAATTGATTTGATTCTGTTCAATATTTTTGTCAATTTTGCCTATGGGGAAAAAGAAAAAGATGGAGATAAGATTTGTTGGAAGTTCTGTTTTGATTCCCTGATGAATCATTGATAAATGGAGAAAGATCGACGACTTGTAAATCATTCAAAATACCAGGGTGTTCGCATGAAAGACGTAATTCAAACTCTGTGGGAGGTGGGTTTTATTTTTAGTATGGTGCTTCTTATTTTGACAGATATGGAAATAGGGGTACAGGGATTTTTAAATTGCCAACGTTTTAATCTGTAATGTTTATGATTACTTAATTAGGTTTCCTACTTTGAGATATATTTGGACAAAATAAGGGACCTACTTGATGGTAAGTTCTGCATTTCTTATGTGACTATTTTTCAGCTTGGTATAGTGCTTTGAATCAACCCTTAAGGGGAAACAGCTATTTTCTGTGAGAGCGATTCCAATTTAAGCTGTACGAGGGGGTTTGTGAAAGAGAATTTTGCAGCTTAAGTCATCTGATCGCTGCTTTGCGCAGCTGCCTCCGCAGCCCTACGTAACTCGATTATAGATCAGTGAGTACAGAGAACCTTGCAGACCTCATGGCAGGTCTGAGCCTCATGGGTAGTGTTTATTCTTAAAGTAAAACTGTAAATTAAAAATGTATAAAGTGGTCTGTTGAATTTTTTGGTTACATTTAGAATACATTGGGTTCAACTTATTCCTTGCTGTGGCTCTGTTAGGTAGAGTTTGTTGGGAGTGATCTCTCTCATTTACAGTTTGTGTCTGTACATGCATGCTCTATGTTAATGGCAGTGGGAATGGTGGGTTGAATCAGTCTGAAGACAGAGCAGTGTATGCTAATGGCAACGCAACACCAGGAACATGTATTTGAGCTTTTTTTGAATTCCAGTGAGCCCTTCTGTCTCTTTTCAAATTCTTGCTGCTGTGGCAAAATCCAACTTTGTTTATTTTCTGAATCCAAGCAATAAACAAAAGCTTTTGTGCCATAAAGTTATATGTCACGGAAATACTGGTAACTCAAGGAGTTACAAATATCAAGCGACTACAATTCTCTCTTACAAATTGAATACATTCACAGTATTTATCTGTCAAGCCTCTAGTTGACACGTTACCACCTGTGGAATGTTCTCCTGATCTCCATCTTTTTTCCCCAGTGTCAAAGACAAACCTCGCTGTACATGAAGATAAAAACAGAGTCCCATATGTTAAGGTACATGGGAGATTTGGTGCCCAGTTTTTCATTTTGTGTCAAATATGCATTTAATTACACATTTCCATTTGTATCCCAGTATGTTTGCTGAAATGATTCAACTCATGTTCGGAGTCTTGAATGTTCAAGTAGTACTGGTCCTTGGTTTTAAAAAGTTTCCAAAGATATTGACGGGCTTGACTCATGCTTGCTTTATTTTCATGACTTAAAACGTTTACATTTTGTTAGTATGGTGTTAAAGTATCCGTATTCCCATTTCATGTCAGATATGAAAGTGGACATCTTGAGGAATTTTCTTCTTTAATATTTTGTTGCATAGATGCTGTAATCTCGCAATATTTTAGGGCAATTTGATGGGTTAGGGATTTGCTTTATGACTTCCTGGGGCCTCACTTAAATGTAATATACTTGTTATGAACATATGTGAGCCTTAATAATATTCAGAGTGATAGAATCATTGAAAATTTAGGTTGGAAAAGACCTTTAAGCCCATTGAGTCCAGCCGTTACCCCAGCACGGCCAAGGCCAACCCTAATGGCACAACTTGAGGCCATTTCCTCTTGTCCCATCCCTTGTCCCTTGGGAGAAGAGACCGACCCCCCTCTCTGCCCCCTCCTCTCAGGGAGCTGTAGGGAGCGATAAGGTCTGCCCTGAGCCTCGTCTTCTCCAGGCTGAACTCCCCAGCTCCCTCAGCCGCTCCCCACAGGAATTGTGCTCCAGACCCTTCCCCAGCTCCGTTCCCTTCTCCAGACATGCTCCAGCCCCTCAAATACATGTAATATTGTTCTGTTTATTCTCATCCTGGGGAGGGCAAAAAGAATTTGATAAAAGAATTCCTTCAGCAATAAATACTGCATTAAGGCAGAAAACAAAGACTCTGCATCTTCTCTTGTAATCTGAGGGAAAAAAACCTCCTTTGGGTATGTAATCTAAGCTAAATTAGTAACAGGTACATGTGCCATATATCACTCCATGTGTTCTATGTATAGAAACTCTTCTCTGCTGCATGTTTACATTTGACTGAGTCTTTAGTCTCATGAAAGAAAATTCTCTCAGGTTATCCCGTGGATTCCTTCTCAAAGTCATACAAAGGCATGTTTTAGTCCATTGCCTCGCTAACGATCATGTTGGATGTTGATGATTCTTCTAATTGTTTTGCTCATCAGTGCTAAATATTCCTCTTGACAGCATTTGGAGTACCAGGACACTGCCTAAACTTTTCTGTTTTCAACTTGCCTGTTTCTAGGGTTGTACAGAAAGATTTGTATCTAGTCCTGAAGAAGTTTTGGACGTCATTGATGAAGGGAAAGCTAACCGTCACGTAGCCGTTACAAGTGAGTATTCTGCGGAGGCTTCTCTGGGTATAAAGTCTGGGTGATGTATTGATTCTTCATGTTCACAAAGTACTTTCGAGTTACTTACGTGAATGATGTAATGATGCAGAAATCATAACACTTTGAAGTTATTAGGGTGTGCTTTTTTTACCGCTTCACTGCATACGGAAACGTTTATTGACCGCTCCAGCTTTGAGAACTCCTGAATTTAATATATGCCATTGGATAGTATTGTTATAGACAATGCCAATATATGATTGTTACATCTAGTATGGATATTTTGAAATTATGTATAACTGAAATTACGTGGGTACGTTCTTCTTTGCGGTACAAGTCAAGAACTCGGAGCAATTCACTGGTCAATGGCAGCCAGGACTGCAGAGGAGTTACCAGACTCTGCCTGTTCCTCTCTTCCAACTCATCCCAGTGAAGCGGAGACTTGGCTTGAGTTCCAACAATGGCAAAGCAAACAAATTTTCCTGAATTAAACCCCATAATAATCACTTGGTCCTGCGTCAGTCTGTTGGCATTGTGTTGCGTGCAGCCTACTGGCATTACGGTGGCAGAGGGCACGTATCTTTGGCCTCTTCTCCCATTTATGTTGGAAGATGTCTTTGATCCGGGCAGGGAGCTTGGCAGAACCTCAGCTGGTAACTCAGATCTTGGTGTTGGGGTGCCGATTTGGGTGTGGGGCTTTTTTTGTTGTTGTTTTTAATTTTATTGTTTATGAAGCGCTGGGTTACTTCTTTCTCTTCCATGCCTCTACCTTCTTGCATTGGTAAACACTGTATTGCTTTAGCTTTCCCATGCTTTTCCTATCATACTAACAGAGATGTATTCTCTTTTTTCTGTGTAATGTTTCGTCCTGTTGTTTCTGCTATTCTCATTAACAAAAAAAAGATTTCAATACACCTTTGCTGTGATGCTACTTATCGCACGCAGTGCACACAGAAAGTTCTGACAGGTTGACAGAGGAGGAAATGGTGAGGAGCAAATTTGGAAGTGTTATTGAAAAAAATGAGTTTGGAGATGCAGGAGGAAAAGGGGGTTCAGATAAATATAAATATTGCTGCTGAGAATGCGAATGGGGAAAGGTGGTAGTGGGTTTTCAAGTAATGGAGAAAACAGATGGGAAAGTGTTTGGCTGCTTTATGAAACTTCAAGCATGACATGGTTATAATCAAACCTGGAATAAGTGGAAGCTGAAGCTGTATCTGCCTGTGTTTTACGTGCTGCCTGGGTCAAGGAGGACTTTTAATGACATTAAATTTTAATTTAAATAGTATGTTTTTGGTGAAAACTTTTGCTAAGATGTTGGGAGATCTCCTCACACAATTGCACCCAGACCTCCCACCTTCTTTTTATTGGAATTATTATTAATTCTCTTTAAATTCTCTTGCTCAGCTCAAAGTTATTCCCCTGTCCTGGATGCTGAACATACCTTCTTCGTAGTTCTCTGTCTAAATAGTGTATGTTCTGTCACAGCAGTTTTTGTGGGAGCTGGCTAGACTCATGAAGAAAAGGACAGAACCATTATTTCTTATTGTATCTGAAAAATGTTACTTATTATTCTTGTGTTATAATTTTTTGTTGTTGTTTTCTACTATTTCTGGTGAAATTTTATTGCTTTGGGGGAATTAAAAATGCTTGGAAAAATGACAGAAGAAAAAAAAAAGCTATTTTTCCATGGTTGTCATTTATCGTGAATCTGGTTAATTTGGTCTTGCTGAGAGGAAGCAGGAGCTCATTCTGCAGTCTGTGAGTTTTATTTGCAGCTCTTGGCATCGACACTTCAGTGGATCAACTCGTGCCTTTGAATTTGCTAACCATAGGCTGGCTCTGACGGAACAGAATTTGTTGTCAGGTTTTAAGGTTGTTTAACCAAAACCTTCCAAATGTGATTCCCCTGCAGATATGAATGAACACAGCTCTAGAAGCCACAGTATCTTCCTCATTAATATTAAGCAAGAGAATGTGGAAACTGAGAAGAAACTCAGTGGAAAGCTTTACCTGGTAGACTTGGCTGGAAGTGAGAAGGTAATCTTTCCTTTTTCCTAAACTGCTGAATAATCCTAGTGGGGTCACTAAACTGATCACGTGGACGTGTGTCAGTGCAAAACTAACCTAGGCTTTAGTCTTAGCTTAAGATTAGTATAGCAATTTTTTTTTCTTTCCTTTCTAATGTGGGATGGAGAAAAGGAGCCGATTAGATCTATTGGTATAAAATGTAAAGCCCAAGGATCTGCAGTATAGCTTCATTTATAACGAAGTGGATTGAACCAGTGTACTTTTACATATATATTTGTTATGGGTATTTGAAGTAAGTAAGGTAATTTTTATGTTATTTGTCAAATCAGGAGGCTGTTTTAATTTGCTGATATTGAGACATGTCCTATTTCTAGATTTTCCTTGATTATTTCATATATTAGATCAATGAAATAATGGCAGTTAATGCAGTTATACAGCTGAAGTCTATTTGAAGCTCCCTGAATGACTTGATTGTGGTGATTCTTTCGGCTTTCCAATATGGAAAAACACTAACCAGAAGAGAACATGTATCTGTTAACCAAAAGAGTAATGGTCTAGAACAGCACTGCAGTGGAAAAAGGCCACTGTTTCCCAGTTCTCATTCTAACATCTTCTGGATTGTTCAAAATAGTTTAACTGTAAATGAAATTAATACATTATAAACGTCATTTTGCGGTTGTATGGAATTCTTTATTTAAGCTGGATCCTTGGTAACTACTGTGCATGTCAGAATGGTTACTCCTGATGAAGCGATGTCTTTCATTGTGGTGGTAGATTTCTAATTCTGTTTGAAAATGAGAACTAAAGATTTTGTTGGATAGGCTGTGCAGCTCTCAGGTTGCTCACCGGGACACAGTAGTGGATAACCCAGCAGTACAATCCATCAGAGTGATTAATCATGTTAATTTCTATTATTGAATACAATATTAAATGTTAATTGAAAACTCTTTAGTGGTGTTTTGCAAATGAGTGCCTAGTCAGTCTCTACTCTCCTCTGAAAACTACACTTTCTGCTGTTCCTTACAGTTTTTTGGACATTGTACAGAAAACCTGAAATCAGGGTTTCCCTGGTAGATTGTCTCCTTAAGAGATACATTTCCTTTTATGTCATGTGGCATTTTTAGAGGAAAGTACAGATAATCAAGTTTTAATGTAGAGAAAAATACATGGGTTTAGCCTACATTTCTTTGCCCTTCTCCACACACCCACCCCCCAAAATAAGGTAGAAAGACTATAAACTGTTGCTGTCTAAACCAGTGCTGGTCCCAGGTTACCAAGCTTCTCGCCTGGGCCACCTTGGGGTCCAGTCTGTGGACCCCTAAACCTTGTGTTCGAGATGAGTGAGATCGTGCATGGACCAAGACTGTCAGGACAGGAGAAGCAAGGAAAATAGAAAGCCAAGATGCTTGTTGGGTGGCACATGGTGTCCGCTGAGTGTGCCCTGAGAATATTCCAGGGGTGTTCCCTGTCTGGATGGACAGCCTGGTCTTGGAAGTGGTCCCCAGGTGTCCTCGGGCGAGCACAGACTTACCAGCTCTTCCCTGAACAAAGTAGGGGTCAGCTTGCTGTTACGCTGGAAGAAAGGTTGGAGCTATTAGGGGCTTCCACTAACAAAAAGGTGCATATAAATTTCTCCTTCTTCATGTTGAGGTTAAACTTACTTTGGTTTTCTTCCCAGAGCATCTTTAACTGTTGCGCTCTCTGCGTTGTAGCCGTGTGTGTGCGGGCGCTTGCTGGGAGCTGAGCCTGACTGTTGCCTGCTCTCCTTGGTAGGTCAGCAAAACCGGAGCGGAGGGCGCTGTTCTCGATGAAGCGAAAAATATCAATAAGTCTTTGTCTGCTTTAGGCAATGTGATATCTGCCTTGGCAGAAGGAACTGTAAGTAATCCTGTTTTGTGTTGTTGAAGAATGGCTTTTTATCTATCTGTTTCTTTGCCACGCACATAAAAGAATAAGCTGAGGTTTCAGTTCAGAGAGAAGAAAACATTAGCTTTCTAACCACAAAAGAGTGACACTTCTGCTCTTCTGCTAAAGAGAAGAAACTAATGCTCAGTGATTTCACTTGAGTGGTTATCCAATCAGCGCAATCTCAGCAATTACTCTCCATGATTGTATGCTTCACATCCATTAAAGCTGTCGTTGCCGACTCATGTTCTCATTATATCATTATTTTAAAAAATCGTTCTGTCTCTTACTTACATTAGAAAACCCACGTTCCATACCGAGACAGCAAAATGACCCGGATACTTCAGGATTCCCTTGGTGGGAACTGTAGAACCACCATTGTGATATGCTGTTCTCCTTCTGTGTTCAACGAGGCAGAAACGAAGTCGACCTTGATGTTCGGACAGCGGTGAGTCCTGCTCGGCATTAGGCTGGATGACACCTACTAGGCTCTTCCACATGTTCTGAGCCGGCCGTGCCGAGAGGAGCAAGATGAGTAGGCCTTTTAAAATAAGGAGGTTATGGTTTTGGAATTGTTAAAAAATAGTACTGGAGAAGTTGAGAAAACTGTCTCTATTCCCTATGGTACCAGGAAAATAAATGTTAATGTTGGCCAGCAGCTGCACTGCTTAGAAGCTCTGCTATCTTTTCCTGCAGAAAGTATTAAGTGTTAGAGTAGTTCTTTGAAATTTTATGGGGAAGATAATGGAATTGGGCATTTTTCTGTTGGCTAACTCAGTGGAAAATGTTTGGGTTTGCTTTATCTGACACTGCTCTTGGTGCTTTTACGATGTGTCATCTTCTTGACTTGCATCTCGGGGATTATCGGTACAGTTGTAAAAAGTACTTTTAACCATTAAGCAAAGTGAAGAATTGGTGTAATAGTGGCATCTTCAGTAGGTTACCATGGATAGCTCATGGATGTTTTTATGTTTGGAGGATCTTAACAATTTAGGAACAAGTCCTCAGAAACAAGCAGGCATAAAATAAGTGTGGAAGTACTTGGAAAGACAGTGTCTCCTCCATATGTGTTTGTTGGCAATAGTCATATGAAACACATTTGGAATCTGTGCAAAAATAGGTCAGGCTCATTACGTAATCACTGCTTTTGTTGTAATTGAGGAGATCTATGACACTTTGGAAAATTGCTCCTTTTGTTGTATTTATGTATAGCAGAAAGAAAAAACAAGTTTTTTCCACAATCGTAGCAAGTTACGATGGTGGAAATAGAATTTATTTAACAGTTTGTGCAATACAATATATTTGTCTTTGTCTGAAAATGGCTTGTTTTCCACCATGCATAATTTCGGCATCGAAGCCCACACTGTAAAGGAGCATTTCATACTGGAAAGTAAAATCACGTAGGAAAGATTGATCTGAGAATCTTCTATTCATTCATTGCCCCTCTTTTATCCTTTAATGTGAACTTTCCTTAGATTTCAGTGAGGGAAGAGGATCCCTTCAGTGTATTCGTATGAGAGGCCGTACAAGCGCAGGATGGGCAGCGCAGGGAACACAGATGCGGTTGGGTGCAGTTGTGGATTAGGGCTGCTGCAGCAGGTTAGGGCTGGAGGACAGTTCTGCAACACGCTCCCCATCTGGCGTTGCCACAGCCAGTATCACCTTGTCATCTGCTGCTGGGGTTGGTGGTAGATGGGGGGACCCGCGTGCTGCAAGCCAGGTAGCAGTAGAGCTGAGCTCTGCTTCCTTATAGCATTTCCTGCCTTGGCTGCAGAATGACAAGCTACTCGCTTTAGTAACAGCCTGCAGGAAAAACTTCCCATAGGAACCCCACAGGTTGCTGCAGTAAGTTTTTATGGGAAAGGACCAAAAAAGGAGGAAGTAGTTGTTTACATGTAAGGTTAAGGGTTGCTATGCAGTTTGAATTCACCATTGTATGATGAAAGTAAGAATCATAGAACCATGGAATGGTTTGGGTTGGAAGGGAGCTTACAGCCCATCAAGTTCTAGCCCCCTGCCATGGGCAGGGACACCTTCCACTAGCCCAGGTTGCCCAGAGCAGGTAAGGTTAGTAAGGTCAAGTTACTGAAGATGTAAGCTTCTACTGAAATCGCCTATACTATAATGTCACAGAAATCTTGAGTAAATGCAAATATTCAGATGCAGTAATTAAGAAAAGAGTGTTAACAACCCTGAAGTATGGGTTGCACGGTTTTTGTTGATGGTAAAAGTTGAAATGTTTTGATAATTCACAGTTTAAACCTCCCCACATACAATTTCCTGACTGCAGGTGGTGTCAGACAAGCGTGAGTCTTTCACGTGTGTAGAACAGAAGAACAGTCCCAAAGTTCCTGCTGTTTTGTTCTGGGTAAGGCTTAAGGGAAGGAATGCAGCCAAAGGGACATTTCATGTGAAACAGATGAGTAGGTGCGGTGCTAGGTTTCGGTCTGCTTGCTGTTATGCTGAACCCTCTGTCCGCAGGTACCGTTTGAAGTAAAAAGAAACGTAAGCAGGAAAATGTAGCAGGTCAGATTAAGGGCATTAAAAGGTAGTGTAGCTTTTTAAAATATTATTTTTTAAAAAATCTAGATTAAAAGGGGTTTACTTTGGCTCTGTAATGTTTAACAGCGCTCCAGGATCTCTGGGAAGTTGTATGCTTGGGAACTTGAGGGAGTGTGTGTAAAGGAAGTCCAGTTTCCATGTTATTTCAGTTTACATTTCTCTTGGTTTCATGTCTCTCTTAAATAATTACAGAATCATAGAATCACAGACTGGTTTGGGTTGGAAGGGACCTTAAAGATCATCTAGTTCCAACCCCCCTGCCATGGGCAGGGACACCTTGCACTAGACCAGGTTGCTCCAAGCCTCATCCAGCCTGGCCTTGGACACTCCCAGGGTTGGGGCATCCACAGCTTCTCTGGGCAACCTGTGCCAGTGCCTCCCCACCCTCCCCGGGAAGCACTTCTTCCTGATATCCAATCTAAACCTACCCACTTTCAATTTAAACCCGTTCCCCCTTGTCCTGTCACTGCAGGCCCTTGGAAAAAGTCCCCCCGAGCTTCCTGGTAGCCCCTTCAGGCACTGGAAGGGGCAATAAGGTCTCCCCAGAGCCTTCTCTTCTCCCGGCTGAACAAGCCCAATTCCCTCAGCCTTTCATCACAGGAGTAGTAAAACTTGCCTTTCTGTTTGGTGGCAAAATAGTTTTCAAACTAACTATGCACACCCTGGCTGGCAGAGCTTGGCGTGATGTGATGTGACTAACACTTTTCTGGGAAGAGGAACATTTTTAAGATGTTCCTTACTGAGGACTGGGATGTCAGCTGAAAGAACCAGGAAAATAGCTAAATACTGTGTGAGAGTGCTTGGTTGGGGTTTGTTTGCTTAAAGTTGTAGAATTGGGCTGAAGTCATGGAATCACAGACTGGTTTGGGTTGGAAGGGGCCTTAAAGATCATCTAGTTCCAACCCCCCTGCCATGGGCAGGGACACCTTCCACTAGCCCAGGGTGCTCCAAGCCTCATCCAGCCTGGCCTTGAATAGGAGTTCCTTGTGTAGAGCATTTAGTTGTAAGAAAGGGATTCCAAGTAGGAGGACCGGTGGTGTACCAGACCCGCAGAGCAGCACACATACGACACACACAGTGTTACTTGTCAGCATTCCGGAGGGGAATATCGCTGTCTACGGGAAGTGGTTTCTTTCACAGGCACTTTGGTTGTGCTGTTTCATTTTTCTGATGTGACAGTATTAAGGGCCTGAATAACATTAAAAGGAAGGTGTTTGAGTCATGGGTGATTACTGGTTCCTCCATTTTTCCTAGCTAAAAAGAATTATATCACCATTAAAATAAGTGTCAGGAGTAGAATTCATCTTCAGAGGCCTGCTTTCACTAATCAACACATGCATGTGCTCTTCTTTTAGTAGTGACTCGGCTCCTTCTCCTTCTGCTCCTTCTTTATGTGTGTTTTCATCTTATTTTTCATTTTAGTTGCTAGTAAGTACTTCATCCATCATTAGGGTTATGCTGTTGATACACTTTATGGTGGGGCATTTTTTTCCCCTGGTACAGATAAAGGAGTGGAAATTTGAGCCATGCTTTTGGCAGAGATGATATGTAGAAACTAACCATTAAGCATTATTATAAAATAATTACAGGGCTATTTTAAAATATTGAACTATTTCTGAGATGGTGAAACTCCTGCTTGCCACATAGTGCAAATCACTGGAGGGTGATTTGGTGCAAGAGACAGGGATATGGGAGCGTTTTCCCGCTGAAAAAACAAACTTTCAGGATTTTTAGTGATGGGCCGGATTTAAAGGATGTTTTAGCATCATTAAGGGGAGCTGTGAAGAAGATAACGAAGCTCATGTGCTCTCCCCCAAGGAGAGTTAGCCAGTGCATCTGCAGCCATTCCTTAGCGTGGTTTCTTGCGCTGGTGTTCCGTCCTGCGCTTTACTTAGTCTGGTTTATTTGGTAACACCGGAGTCAGTTGGAGGGACTCCGTGTCTGAACAGTTGAGGGGCAAAGCTCCGAAGCTTTCTTAATTCGTACCCATTTGTTCAGTTTTCCTTTTTAAACGTGGGTTTGATCGAGTAGGTCCTGTGTATTTTTTTTTTTCCTGCTTGCGTTACATGTTCCAGTGCACTTGGTTAGGTTTGGTTGGGGCTAAGCACTTTCACAACGATGAAGTGGGTGGCGGTTGTTGCTGGAAGGGTTCAAATGTTGTGATATTTTTGCCCAGAGAGGCAGTAACTCACGAGCCTGCCTGCATGGCACAGGGGCGAATTCAGGCTCCCTTGCCATGGCGAGCCTTCCTCAGCCCAGCAGTAACCCAGCGGTTCTCCTCCTTCCGTCCCTTCCACCCCCAAACATGCATCTGAAAGCAGTTTGGCTTTCAAGAAGGGTAAGTTTCCCCATCGCTGCCTCACGGCATCAGCATCGTTCATGCTGTGATGCTTGAAATGCGGCTGGTTTTGTTGGTGGGGTTTAAGGGATGGTTGTTAAGAGGGGAGGGGCGAGCCCGTGGTCAGCCCCTGGTGTGGGGTGCTCTACAGTGGGTCTTGGCCCAGGAGAATCACAGAACTGTTTGGGTTGACTCGATGGGCTTAAAGGGTAAAAGCCCTTTAAGCCCAT